TTGTACCGCCTTTGGGCACCCTGCTTGAGCCCACCCCTAAAAAAGGCCGAGTTGCGCTTTGGGGTTGTGCTCCACTCGTTCCATCTGTCTTCCCAAACGTCCGATACACCAATTCCATCTCCCCTGCGCCCATTTGCTCTACTACTTTTTCCCTCAAGGCCTCCACAACCTCTGGATCCGCCATGCTATAGGTCGACACTATGTCCATAGCGTCGCCTATGTTCGCCAAGCTTAGAGTCAGCGCTTCAGGCTCTCTTATCTCCTCAAGCCTGTTGTTTTCAATTCTCAGCCTCTCTTCTTCTGACTCTTCAATTGTGAACGAATCGGGGTTGGGCCGGTTCCTGACACTCTTGGGCCTTGTATTCTTGCAAGTAATAACCTCGTAATTCCCACATACGGGGTCGCACAGGACGAGGAACAAAGTTCTGTCATGTTTATTGAGGATGACCGTCTCTGTCCTGCTTAGGAATGACCTTGCTAGTAGGATGGGGTGATCAAGGTCAGGCATTACAAAGAAACAACTCCTGACCTTGTGAGAGGGTTCCTCCAGTTCGTGAGGAGACCTATCAGGATGTTCGTCAGGAGCGTTGTGGAAAGAGCGTTGCTTTGGGGAGATTGCAGGCGGTTACTGAGGAGCTACTATACTCCCACACGCCAGGCAGAGGAGAGAAGAAGCATGGAAAGGAAAAGAAAGGAGCCTGAGGCAGAAGGCATGAGGACTTTTGAGAGAGGTGCCTTCTCGAGGTCTCATGAGGGAGAAAGAAAAAGAGGGCACGCTTCCCACAGGACAGAGAAAAGAGAGGAGCAGCCCTCTGAGAGGGCGCAGAGGAGGAGAGGGCTAGAGGCACCTGAGGCTCCTCCTCAATCTACTCAGAGGCAAGAGGATCAGCCAATGACAGAGGCAGGACCAGAGGGGCCTCATGAGTCACCCAGGCAAGAGATGAATAAGGATCAGGCTGCAAAAGAGAAGGAGTTAGAAAAGCAAGAAAGAGCCACCAGAGAGCAGGAGATCGGAGCGGAAATCAGGAGGAAGAACCTTGAAGAACTCCACAAGAGAGTGGAGCAGGGAGAACGGCCAGTGAACTTGAAAGACAAAAAGGGGGAGAGTGTAAGCAGCCAGCAGGAAGAAGATCCTCCCTTACTCTCGGAAGTGTGGGAGAACTTTGACAAGCTGATGGAAGCTGCAAAGGGACCAGGAGCGCACCAGCAGGAGATGGGGGTGAAGTTGGTCTTTGCAGACTTGCTCACCCTGAAGGGAATGATGAAGGAAGGGTTCGCTGCAGCTAAGGCATCAGATCAGAAGGTTGGAGAGAGACTCACCAAGGTGGCTCAGAAGGCCTATGGTCAGAGGGTGGAATGGGAGCGAGAGATTAAGGACCTGAAGGAGAATCAGGAAAGGCAAGACCGTGAGTTGGACACCCTGAAGAAGGAGCTGGGAAAGCAAAGCCAAGAAATGGCAGCAGCAAAGGCAGAGATGGCCAAGCTTTGGGCAGACAACGAGGCCATCAGAGAGGTCAACCAGACCCTCAACAAGGTCAACGACTGTCCATTATGTCTTCCACGCCAAACCCCTCTTCCACTTGAACCGCGTATTTCTTCTTCTTTACTTCTTGTGCCTTATCTGTGTCCGGCTTGGCACTTCCCTTCTTGGCCCTTTGCTCGGCCTTTTCATCCTCTTCTTTCCTCAACCTGTCATCCTCGTCATCCTCTTCTCCCGGAACGTCCACAACTTCCTTTT